TTAGCATTATCAGTCTTTTTTATTTTAGCCATTCTATTAGTGTTTAGTAGTATCTTGTGATTTTAATATACATTTTTCTGATAACTAATGAAAAAATTTGAGCACATGTTCATGTGCACGTTGTCTATTCATCTATCTTCTTTTCACATGTGTCTGTTCAAGTTTTTTCTGCCTGATTTTTAATTAGTCTGTCTTTTTTTTTCTTTTTTTGAGAGTTAATTTATTTTATTTATTTATTTATTTTATTGACGTCATAATAGTTTAAAACATTGTGAAATTTCAGTTGTACATTATTATTTGTCAGTCACCGTATAAATGTGCCCCTTCACCCCTTGTACCCACCCCCAACCGCTTTCTCTTCTGGTAACCACTAAACTGTTGCCTTTGTCCATGTGTTACTTTATCTTCCACATATGAGTGAAATCGTACGGTGTTCGTACGGTGTTTGTCTTTCTCTTTCTGGCTTATTTCGCTTAACATAATACCCTCCAGGTCCATCCATGTTGTTGCAAATGGGATGATTTTGTCTTTTTTATGGCTGAGTAGTATTCCATTGTATATATATTTACCACATCTTCTTTATCCAGTCTTCAGTCGGTGGGCACTTGGGTTGCTTCCACTTCTTGGCTGTAGTGAATAATGCTGCAGTGAACATAGGGGTGCATAAGTCTCTTTGAATTGTTGATTTCATGTTCTTTGGATAAATACCTAGTAGTGGGATAGCTGGGTCATATGGTATTTCTATTTTTAATTTTTTAAGAAATCGCCATACTGTTTTCCATAGTGGCTGCACCAGTTTGCATTCCCACCAACAGTGTATGAGGGTTCCCTTTTCTTCACATACTCTCCAACATTTGTTATTTTTGTCTTGGTGATTATAGCCATTCTAACAGATGTAAGGTCATATCTTAGTGTAGTTTTGATTTGTATTTCCCTAATGATTAGTGATGTTGAACATCTTTTCTTGTGCCTATTGGCATTCTGTATATCTTCTTTGGAAAACCATCTGTTCATATCCTCTGCATTTTTTGACCTAATTAGTGTGTCTTTTTATCATCAATATATGGGATTTTTTAAAATATATATTCTGGATACAAGTCCTTTGTTAGATATATATTTAGCCAGTGTTTTTTCCCCAGTCTGTGGCGTGTCTATTTATTTTCTGAATGGTGTCTTTGATGAGCAGAGAGTTTTAAAATTTGATCTTCTATTTATGAATTTTGTGTCATTATAGTTTGTGCTTTACGTTTTCTGTCAAAGCAATCTGTGCCTACCCAAGGGGCGAAGATATTCTCTTGTGTTTCGTTCTAGAAGCTTTATGTTTCTGTATTTTACATTTATGTGTATGAGTCATCTTGAATTAATTTTTGTGTATGGAGTGAGATAGGGATCGAGGTTGACTTCTTTCCACACGGACATCTGGTTGTTTCAACACCGTTTGTTATAGACTATCTTTTCCTCGCTGAATTGCCTTGGCACCTTTGTTGAAAATCTGTTGACTGTATATGTCTGGTCTATTTCTAGATGCTTTATTCTGTTCCACTGATTGATTTGTGTGTATTTATGCCAGTACTACCGTCTTGATTACCTTAGCTTTATAGTAAGTCTTGAAATCAGGTAATGTACATCCTTCAGCTTTGTTGTTTTTCAAGATTCTTTGCCTATTGTAGATCCTTTGTATTTCCATATAAATATTATAATCATCTTTTCTACTTCTTCAGAGTAGCTCACTGGGATTTTGATAGGAATTGCACTAAATTTATGTATCAGTTTGGGGAGAATGGACGTGATCTTCCCATCCATGAACATATGATTTCTTTCCATTGTTTAGGTCCTTGATTTCTCTCCGTAGTGTTTTGTAGTTTTCAGTGTAGAAGTCTTACACATCATCCATGTGGTTTATCCAAAGTATTTCCTTTGTTTTCTTGAGGATATTGTAAGTGATAATTTCTTAAACTTTTATTTCCCAGTTGATTGCAAGATTTGCTGATTTCTTAATTTTAAGTTCTTTGCTTCCAGATGACTAAGTTTGTCCAATTCCAGCAAAATGCATTTCAGTTTAGTACTGAAAGCAAACAGAAGTCAGTTAAAATAAACACACAAACTTTGCAACATTGATTTTTGTACATACTATCCTGGTAATGAAGAGTGTCAGCATTTCCTCTATTGGATTGGTGATGTTTTCCTCAGAACTCCCTGTTGTTTGTGTGATTCAGCTGGTGTTTTTCTAGTGTAAGGGAGTCTATGCTATCTTTTTGTGGCTGTTTGTGGCTCCTCAATTAGAGAGTGAGCCCCTGGAACACAGGATGCTTTAGGTTTTATCTGTCTGTCATTTTATCAGTGAATGAATGCTCTCAACGGTGGGAAGGTTTGGCTAGAACAAAATAAACCTGACAACTAGAGGAAAATGACTGTGGTCTCTCAGGGTAACAGCGAATGCTGGAGCCCACCTCCCCTGGGAGGGCACAGATACAGAAATAGTAGGAAAAAGGTTAACATTCATTTTGAGATGGGAAAGTCTTGAAACCTACTCTTAGGGGCAATAAAGAATCATTGCAGATTTAGAAGTTAAGAATGGGCATAATAATGACGCCATTTTATTAATAGACCTTGTAATTGAAACATCTTAAAAAGTTGTATTATCTGTTGTATTACAGTTTTAAACCATTAGAAATATTTAAAGTGTGTAATGTTTTGTGGCTCCCAAAGTAAATGACCACATATTTGGTGGCTTAAAACAACAGAAATTTATTCTTTCACAGTTCTGAAGGCCAGAAGTTCAAAATCAGTATAACTGGGCTGAAGTCAAGGTGTTGGCTGGGCCTGCTTCCTCTAGAGGCTTTAGGGAGAAAGTCGTTTCCTTGTCTCTCCCAGCCTCCAGCGGCTGCCAGCCTTCCTTGGCTTGTGGCCTCATCACTCTAATCTTTAATGCCAGTATTTCAAATCTATGTCTCTCTGCACGGTCTTCACATCACCTTCTCTGTGTGTCAAATCTCCCTCTGCCTCTTTCTTATAAGAACACTTTGATTGTATTTAAGGCCCACCTGGATACTTCAGGATAATCCCCCCATTTCAAGATCTTTAACTTAATCACATTTGCAAAGACCCTTTTTCCAAATAAGGTGACATTTACAGGTACCAGGGATTAGGACCTGACATCTTTGGGCCCTGTTATCAGTCTACCACAGAATGTATTATTCTTTTTTAGACTTTCATTTTGTTCTGGAACTTGCTGTCAAAACAGATTGGACTGATTTAGCTCCCAAATGATGTACTTATTTACTTGCTCTAACTACCATTTTTAATTGAACCCTGTACGATGGAATGAAATTTATTACCTTCTAGTAGCACAACAGAATAGACCCAAAAGCCTCAAATGGTGAGTTATTTATTTAAAATAGTAGTCAGGAAAATACAAAATTAGTGAAAGAGATTGAATTGTGCTTTGACTAACATAGAACTGATATATGACTCAATAAAATTTAGTGATAGCTTTTAGTTTTGGGCAGGCAGGAACTAATTCTTGGGTTTGTAGGGCTTTCTTGGTCAGGTTGGTGCATGATCAGGCCCAATCTATTTTATTCATTGTACTAAGTAGACTTTCTATAGTGACCTATTAGAAATTACCTATCTTTTAGTCTGGACTTCTACTATATGGCTGTTAGTTTAGAATGATTTCTCTAGGGCCTTCTCAATGCTTGTGGCACATTGAGACTGAGTTTTCACATGTAAGTGTATCTTAAATGTATACTAGCAACATATCTGAGCACGTTGCATGTAATAACATTGAATCATACCAAGCTTGTTACACAAATCTTCACATGGTGTTAGAGGAATGGGTCAGCTAGAGGACTTTAATGTAGCCAACTCTCTTTTGGCTTTGGGATATTACTTACTATCCCAACTTTAGGGACTGCCTAAACCTCAGTATGAGAATAACTTGTATGAGCATCATTTGATGAAAATCATGGCCCCCAAAAGATGAAACAATAAAGCTTTAGTTTCCTTTTTTCTGCAGTTAGTTATATGAGTTAGCTGAAATATTTAAATGTTGATAATAGATAGATTTGGCACAGAGAGAGAAATAGTTTGCCAGAGGTAAAATGGAAGCCTACTTCTCTTTGCCCTGTAATCTTTCTCCCAGCATGCGTGATGTTCATTAGCTCTTCTGTGCAAACAAATATCACAGTAGCTTTTGTTCTGCTAGTGAGGATCATCAGTAGTGTAGAGAAGTGCAGCATGAAAGCAACCTCACTGTCCAAGCCAGTAGTCTACACTGTGGGCGAAAACTTACATGATTTCTGAGTTCTGGATGGAGAATTGAAGGCATCTGACTTCATGTACTTGCCATACCTCACTGAATGACTTTGGCCTTAACAACCTGGGTTATAAATGATGTGGTACTTGTAAATGTTTTGTGCTCTTTCAGTGTCTGTAAAGCGGTCAATGAAAGAATTTAAATGATTGTACCGTTAATTGATGAGTATGTGAACTAAGCACATTACTGTCATGAAATGTGAATATGATGATTTGCCTGTTCTATTGTAAAAACTTTGAAAAAAAAGTAAGAACTAAAGAGAAAAAACTATTCTACCAGTTCACAGTAAGTTCCCAAAGTAACTTAAAATATGTCTATGATACATTTGATAAAACGTGCAGGGTAGTTGCAGGTTGAAGATTCTGGATGAATACTATCAAGTGGTTCCTTATTTACTTGAGAGTGAAAAAATTACATGTCTGAATATCTGCTGCTGTTAGCCCCAGATTATTTAAGTGAAGTGTCTCTAAATTCAGATAACCTTTTCTCTCTTGTTTGTTGAGAGACTGCTGAAAAGCAACTGACGTATTGATTGTTTCAGAAGAACAGATAGATAAAAAGAGAAGGGAGAACCACAGAGAATGCAGGAAACAAGGAGGAAGTGGACACTGTGAGAGAGGAGTCCAGGAAGCCACATTCACGCTGGCCCTGGAGAATTGGTGAAACAGCATACAACGTCAGTATGAAGAAATTGTTGCGTATTGAAAACATTCTTAAACGCTTTTTACACTTAGAAAACATGTAAGAAAGATTTACTAATGAGTTAATTTCTATTCAAATGTTTCATTGAGTTCTTTAAAGTTTCTTACAAATCTACCCTAGAATAACCATTTCTCAATAAAAATTTATCTTTGGGGACTTTTAACTTTAAAATCTTCAGGGCTGAGCCAGAAGATGAAAGATGTTTTATTTTCAAGTATGATTGTATAATCTAATTTCAAAAGAGAAAGCTAGTAATCGTTTGTGATGCTACTGCAGCCAGACACATTCTATCAGGAAAGCCTTGCACTCTGCACAGTCTGTGCTCCTCCTCTGTCATGTCCTGCTCGTCTGCACGTACCTATTTCTGTTTGTGTTAGTCTTCCTCTCTAGGTAAATTGTCCATGAGACCAGTGATTCCATCAGCAAATTATCCAGGAAATGCTGTCTTTGCACGTTGTGACAGATCATGTCACTGGTGGATTTATAGCTACTCCAGTGGTCTAATTAACCTGGCAGTCGTCTCCTGTGCCCAACACTGTTGTCTTGGCATCTTAGTTTCTTCTCATTACCTTGTCTCTTAACTAAAGCTCAGATTTACATTTTTTTTTAACTACCCCCTTCAACCCCTCTCTATTCACCACCGCCTTTATTTTTGATTGGCAGTATCATCCAGACAGACAAAGTGCAGATGCGCCAGCAGGAGCAGTGGAGGAGTGTGTACAGAAGTTCATCGAGATTGAGCAGGCGTGGAAAATTCTAGGGAACGAGGAGACCAAAAAGGAGTATGACCTGCTGCGACATGGTGGGTACTTGTGGGGAAGAGCCACTGCGCCCTGGATCCTTGGAAGCACCGTCTGCAGGCATTGCTGGGGAGCGGTTCCCAGCATTTGCACCAAGTTCTTCTTCCTTCTTTACTGCTCCCTCCATCATTGTTTTTAATTATGACCTGTCCTTAGTAGTGATCATTGTGTTTCATTGATAAGTTCACAGAACTGCTAGGATGTGGCTTCTTCTGAAGCCATGAAAGTTACTTTTTATAACTAATGAAAAATGTTTAATTACACATTCCTAATTAATATGTTTTTATATGTTTAAAAACTTTTTATTAAATTTAATTATATGCTGATTAAAATTTTAATGGTAGCATTTTTAAGCTATGTGCTATATAAATGACAATCTAAAGGGAGATGCTACGTAGGATAACCTCATAAAGCACTCTTTTCCTGTCTCTGAGCTTGTTTTAGGCCAGGTTTCTGATTATCTCCTGGATAAACTATTCCTTATAAGATTGCTATAAATGATATTTTAGGAATGCACATTTCCTAAGCAGGTTTAAAAGTCATTTCTTTTATGCATTTTGGAAAATAGCTTCTTAAAACAGTGACAAGCTCTTGTGAGAAAGAAAGGAAGAAATGTAGGTCAGGTTTGTCACACATGGACTGCAGTTACACGAAGTGATAGGCTGTCTTTCAGCACTGGCCTTGGGATAGGAGTCCCTCAGCCTTCTCTCTGAACCTTCAGTTTGCACCCTGTGTGCTAATGGGGGGAGTCGATAATCAGTACAGCCTGTGGGGAAACATGCAGTGCACTCTGCAGTCGGCGCCCGGCTCAGCATTGACTTGTACGTGTTGATAAAAGCTCGCTGTCTCTGTGGTTGATTATTGAATCCCGCCTGTGCCCTGCACTGGCACACCATCAAACCTAACAAAACGATTGTAAGGCTCCCATTACTAAGGTTATGAATATTTGACTTGAGAAACAAGGCTTTATTGCTAAAACACAGCATTATAGGATAAAGCCAATGATATATATAGAATATCCATATTTATTTTCAGAGGGAGTTGTACCAGTCACATCCACAGCCAGGGTGTGATGCCTTTGTGTGTAAAAACGTCAGGGCTGCTTGCTCACGTGCTGGAGGTTTGTCTTTAGTAGTGACTTTTATGACACTAATCAGCTCTGAGGCCCTCCTGCCTTTTTATGACTGATGAGCTTACTCTTAAAATGTTAGAAACTCATGAGAGAACCTTTGCAATGAATTGGGATTAATTTTCAAATGTGCCTTGAATATTGGATCCTACTTCTGTTTGGTGCGTATATGTGCATCTTGCAAACGTTGTATTTCTTTTGTAAACGTGTTTGTACTTGCTGGCAAAAGAATGTAGAGGTGTTTCCATTGAGGATGAATTCTATCCATAGATGTATCTTTTTAACCTTGGCTCACATGATAGAATTTCTATGAAAGTATTGAAACTAATACACATGAATGCGTTGTGTGTGAGAAGTTACCTGTGTCCTCAAAGTGACCAGGCTCTGCTGGAGATGATGACTCTCCGCGGTGATTTTGTGCATCGTCACCAGCCTTTACCCTACAGGCAGGGTGCCCACGTGCCTGGAAGAAGAGTAGTCCACACAGCTGCACCTGGAGGTGTGGAGGGAGTGCTCTCCTTATCTCACCCACAGGCTGTGTGCTGCTAAGATCCTGTCAGTGAGACTCACTAGGGCCTGCTGCCTACAGAGAGGAGAGGCAGGAGAGACCAGGCATCAAAAACTATTCTCTCTTGCTAGGGTGTAGGGTAGGCTAGACCAGAAATGGAGAGAAATAGGAAACCAGGTTACAAGTGAGCAATGGAATTGCATGAAGGGTGGTGTAAGAGATACTGGAAGAACAGAACGTCTTCAAGTCTTTCTCATCGCCTTTGAGAAGTCCTTGGAAGTACGGATTTCTTTTGAGCTTTCAGTCCTTAGTTTTTGGGTTTTAATGAAAGAACTGTGGCCTCCTGTATCACAGGAGCCTCTTGTAGGTCATTCATGAGGTCACAGCAGTTTAGACAAACAAGTACAGTGAGAGTTGGGCCTGATTCATGATTCAGATAAACAGGCAGCTCTTCTGCTTGGAATTTATATAATGTCAATTGGCTTTGCAAGTTTTTCAGGTGGGTGATTACTGAATGGAGCTATTCTAGAAGGACAGTAGAAATACAACTTTTTATGACATTTTAGTACCTCAGATCTAAGTACTAAATATTTCCTTCTGTACCAGAGGTTCCAAGTAGTGGGAATGCTTTGTTTCAGTTTTAAATTGAGATCGGCTTGCCATTTAGATAAGAAATAGATGTCTCTTATCCAAATATAACTTGCTGTTTTTAAGCCTTTCATACTAGAGCTGTTTAGAAAATCTCGTAATAAACCTGGTTTTGTATTGTCGTTTCTTTCGAATACTGATATAACTTTTTCCTTCTTGACCCATCTTCAATATATGGTTTCTCAAAAGAAGGAAATGAACTTGAACTTCTAACAGTGAGGATTTAGATTTGATAGAAGGAAACCTTTGAGAGTGATAATTTGTTAAAGACAGGATAGGTTACTACGAGAGAGGGAATTTGTTATAAGCAGGTCAGAACCCTCTTTTTTTCTGGGTCACCCCTTGAGGACATGGAGATGGCTGTGTTGTCAGAACTCTTTCTGCATGTGGTGACAGTTCATCGTAGAACTGTCTTTTCATATTGTAGGGTTTGCTCTAAATAAGTTTGTTCCTGCCTCGCACTAGCTTGAGTATGAAGTAAGTTTGAGCTCTGTATACTTGGGAAGGAGGCAGGAGATGTTTCATTGGCTGATGTTGAATGCTTTCTTGTATTTCACATTATGTATTAGAGTTGGTGCTTTGTTGTAAGGAAAGACTCCTCAGTATTGCCCACAACTATTTATTTCTCTAAAAGATCATTTAAGGGAGCGCTTGACGTCCATATTTCTTTGCCTCGCAAAGGAAATTATCAAATGAGTTCTAATAAAGAAACGTCTAAGGTAGATAAAGTAGAATACACATATTTTTTTCTCCCTCATTTCCACTTCTGTATTCTTAGTTGACAGTTTGGGGCAATGTTGGCCAGGCTGAAGAAAAGCAAATCTAAAAAAGGATGAGTAATATTCAGTTCCTAGATATGATATATTTTGAAAGCAGTGTTAACCAGTGGGTTTAATCAATTCGTTCCAGTTAGCATGTTTACTAAGGCTGCTTCCACAGGCTGCTCCCCTGTTCTCTTGAAAGGCACGTAGGTATTGAAGATTAGGCCTCCGTGTCAGACGACCCAATGAGCGCTTCAGAAGATCTGTTCAGGGTTTATAAAATGTTCACATGGATAATATCTGTTGAATAGATTTTGGTTCCTTTATAAATCTTGTGAGGAGTTTTCTCATATATTAAGCACATTAGAAAACACATCAGAAGTATATCATGGGAAAATATTAGGGATCATGATTCCATAGCTTTGTAATGTGACAGTCACACAGATCTCTGATGTCTCAATGGTGCTATCAAGTGACACAGCTTCTGAGTTAGGTTACTTCTCTGTGACCTGGAGAGGAACAAACCTTGAGATGAAATCAGTCAGATTAAATAATGTTTTAAAAAAAAAAGTGGTTGTGTCTGGAATCCTTGGTGGTGTATTATTTTATATTAAGATGTATCTTGGTTCTCTATTAGTGAATTATTTTGGTCATGTGGAGCCTTCAGTCTATACCATTGGCCAAGTACTTGGATACCCGAAACGGCCTGGCTCAGAGGGGATTGGGCCAGACACTGAAGTTAGTGTCTTTACTCAGAACTAGTTAGCTCCTCTCCCTTAGCTAGGTACAAAGGTCATTTCTGGTGCTGTACTATACAGTTCACTTCATCTCTTTATTAGGATAAATATTTGCAAATGGAAGACAAGCAAGTCAGTCTTGGACCAAATGAGGAACGTGTCTTAAAACCCTACCAACATTTATGTGTCAGATAACTGACTCAACATGTACTTTCTTAAGCTCAAAATGAGAATCCTTCTTGAAAAGCAAGTTAATGCTAAAGACTGATAAGCTCCCAAAGAGAGGAAATAATACTTCTAATTGTAGATAATATGAATTTGGGTCAACTGTTAGGAATAATGACTTCAGGCCAGTAGATGTTTGTGTGAATTATGTGCTAAAACTGACCCTTACAAAATACTGTGTTTGTGAGATTAGGGTTTCCATTTATGGTCATGTCAGTATTTCCATTTGATTTTAGGAATTTAAAAATTGGCTGTAAAAATGTGCTTCAGGTAAAACTTGAAGATAAGCATCAGGGGGCATGTTTTTTTGATGACTGTTTCTGGGAAAAGTAAGTATGTGAAATGATGCAGAAAATCCATGTAGACAGTTCGAGACTGGCATTTTCTTCAGAGGGAGAAGCGAGTATAGATAAAACTATCTGTGGGGTCCTCCTGCTCCATCTTATTTGTCACAAGAAGGTGACTACTCACATTATTTGTTACTTTTACTTGAATGCAAATAACTGTTTTTGCAATGAAAATGTATTTTAAGATCATTTCTCAGTGATTTTGAATAAAAATTTGGCTAGTTTCAAATAATGCTATAGAAACCTATGGGCAAGATTCACAGTTACAATTCTGGTATACTTGGACATCATTGGAGTTCTGGTTTAATAATGGATGAGATGTAGGATTTAGGAAGTTTGTGTTTCCGACTTTAACCTCTCTCCTAATTTCTACTTGGGTACTTGACTCAGTTGAAATCAGTGGGTCCGAAACCAAGACTGGGTCCTCTTCCTCGTTGCTTGTTTTTTCCCCTTAGATTTGAAAGCTTTGCTTCCTGTTACGCTCTGATTACTTCTGTTTTGCCCAATATAGAACCAAAGAGTTAGAAATGAGTGTTGACATTTCTTGTTTATGTAGTTTTCTATGTGATCTTTGTATTCTCACAGCTACCTTGTCATCCATACCCCTATTACAGCATGTACCCACGTTATTCCCATGACCGCTGCTT